GAGTGGGGGACGCTGGAGAGCATCGGAGGGATATGGGGGAGCAGTGGGGTGAGAAAGGGAAAAGTGGGGGAAAGATAAGGGAGTCGTACTGGGGGGGAGAGGGGGAGTAGAATAGGAGGGGAGGTATGGGGACTGTGGAGGTGGGGACAGGCTGTGAGGAGTCCGGGGGGGGGAGGGGGATGTGAGGCCGAGAGAGGCTTTGGGAGCTGTGCTGAGATGGTGAAGAAGGCTTCTGGGAGGATAGGGAGCACTCAGGGAGATGCTGGGGGACAGGATGGGTTGCGGGGTGATGAAGTCTCCGTGAGCTGTGTGAAGAGGAAGAGGCACTTCTGAAGCTCCCGTTTGAGTAAGCGGCTTTGCTGTCAAGTGAGGGACAAACCCAAAGGCCTTAGGAGCCAGACTGACGGCAGGGTTGTTTGTAGGGAGTTCCTGTGTCTAGGAGCATTGTTTGGTTCTGGCTCTGAACTTGGCTGGATTGTAGACTTTCTTTTTTTTCCTATCTATTATGAGGTTGGGGGAGTACTGCTTTGGGGCTATATAATCATCCCATGGGGGCAGGGAAGTAACGGGGTGCTAGGGCTGGCCAAACCCCAAGCTGGGTATCTTGTGTGGCTTCCCAGCTTCTACCCCGTAGTCTGTGGGAGAAATCACGGTCACACTGCTTGTGCACTTCACAACTGCCTCCCCTTTGGAGGGGCGATTTGGTACCCCGGTGATGGGCGAGCTCATTTTTAACAGTCTGTGATCTCTCTCTGTGAAAGGTATTGTGCAATTCTCTATTTTGTTGTGGTTTTTAGTCTGTGAAATAAAAGAAAAACTTCTCGGTGCTTTTTCCTGGTAAGTGGACGTGCTCAGTGTTCAAGCAGTAAAGCAGGCTCTTTTAAACTGCTGTGTGTGCCAGGCACATAGTGAGGGCTTTTATTTCTCTAGAAAAATAAATCTAAGCGGTAGGTTTGCAACCTGTAATGACAGTCCTGCGAGGTCTCTGACTCAGCCGGTGTCTTCAGGAGGGCAGGGCGAGGAGGAGTCTGGATTAGAGGTCTGGGCGCAGTGAAACTGAGCCACGTTTCACCACGCAACTGATCTCTGTGCAACGCTCATTGCATCAAAATACAAGGGGAGCCCTGGGCCCTAAAATGCCTGGTTTAAACTTTGAGTGCTTGTGGGAAATGCCAGAATGCCATATATGTGCACACGACCTGGACGTTGGAAAAAAAAAAAAAAAAAAAGGGTTCTGTGTCCAAACTTACCCCTGGCCCTGGAATATAATGTATTCACAAGGAAGCTTGTCAGTTTTTGAACAAGCTATAATCTTTAAAGGCACACAATGATGTCTTAAATATGAAATAACCAGTCATTTCATTTGAAAATGCTAAGCAGAGATGTTATACTTGTAGTCCTTATTGCCCGGTAACTGCGTGAAGCTGGCATTACACACCCGTGTCTATAGCTGCCCTCGCTGATTTACTCTGTGGTGAGGTTTTAGTGCCTTGTTTCCCCCACTCGTTTACGAGCGGCTGGCAAACATCCACAGCATGTCCTAGGGTGAAAGTGTGTGATTTTATGGGCAGGGAAGGCATAATTCCCAGTTGTGGGAAGCCAGTTTGGTAGGGTCTTTTATTTTCCATGCAGAGAGGTTAGAGCAGCGCAATCTAGTGCAGTAATTCCGCGAAGGGCGGTCCCTGGGTGCTGCTTTGGGTGGTCTGCGGGTCTCTTCCTTGAGCAGTGAGTTTCAGAGGGTGGGAGGGCATCATCCTGGGCTGGAGAAGGAACCTGAGCTGCAGGGAAGGGTCTAGGTGGGATGCAGAGGTTGGGGAAAAGGTAATCAGGTGTCATAAGGGTCCTTCATGGAAATCCTGAGGGGTGCTGAGGGCGTGTGCGAGAGTTTGAACAGTAACTTCTCCTTTATTAGGTCCCCGCACAGGGACTTGGTTAACCCTAGCAGACAGGAAGAGGTGTCTGTTCGGTTCACACACTCTTCATCTGCGCCATCGTCCACGAGCAGACAAGCTCGTCTGCTGCTCTGGAGGACTCGTGGTGGGACGCGCTGAGCTGAGTGAACTTGAACGGGGTTTGCTCAGGGCGTTTCGCTGACAGCCTGAGGTGAAGACGATGATGATGGTTTTTCAAAGCTTCATGTAGTTTTGTGCTTGTATTTTCTAGATAGGGTCTTGAGCATCTCTTACAGAGTTCCCCAAAGCTTGATTTAACAGGATTTTACTGTAGGGCTAGTTGTCCTGGTAAAATACCATTGTGCAAAGGACACTCCATTTCACCATAAGGCCACAAACGGGCAAACTCCAGCAGCAGAATTGTTTGGGTGTGGGATTTGCACCATTTGCATCTACTTTGCCTGAAAATAGGGCCTCCGTGTCCACAGGAGGAAGAGCTAGAGCTGTGTGCTGGGAGGAAGCAGCAGTTTCTCCTGAATGTAAAGATTGGTGATGAAATATTAATACTCCCGACTGAGTCACCAGCCAGACCGGATTGGGTCTCCTGCTTCCTAAACTGATCGGGAGTTGTACAGCTCCATGAACAACTTAGTCTGGTTTCCCAAGAAAATGAGGCTTGCGTGATATCGCTGCTGCGTGTGGCTGGCTGCGCGTTTCCTGCTCTTGGGAACGTCGGAGTCTGTGCCTCTCCCAGACAAATCAGGCAGAAGGCAGAAATCTGAAAGTTAAATTTCTGTGAGTTTCATGAAAATGAGTACCCTGGGAGAGGAGGGGGGGAAAAAAACCAGTTAGGGATGTCTGCTGTGGGAAGGTGCAGCGTGAGCTCAGGTTTTGCTAGGTAGGAGAAGATCCGCATGGGGCGATGACCCGTGGGATGTATTTGCAGGAAGCGAACTTCGTTAACGCTGGTGCCCATAGGAGAGCTCGTCAAGTGCCTCCGCGTGGGTGTGCGGTTGGTGGGGACTGGGATTCTTCTGAAGGATTTCAGGCAATAATACAGGGTGAAAATGACTGAGAAGTTGTAAAACTGCAGCTGGGCTGGTGCTTGTTACCAACAGAATTAACTGCTCTGTATCTGGTTTCTCTTGGGTAAATAGTAAGAAACTGAGGCAGAGAAGCTCCGTGCTCCGTCTGATGAGTCATGGGCTGAGCCGGGATTAAATCTGCGTGCCTCTTGGTGTGCGGGTTTCTGCTCAGTGTGGCTGGGTTTCTCAGTGAAAGCTGTGAGCTCTGTGAAGGAGAGGTTGCAGTGGACAGGAGCCGCCTGGAGAGGATGTTAGAGAGCTGTTGTTTGCTGAGTGAGGACACACAGAGGTGGTGCCCAAAGCTCCTCCTGCCCAAAAAAGCTCCCTCCTCTTGTGTGGTGTGATGTTAGTTGCTCAGACTCTACCTGGATTGCCTTCCCCAGAACTGACATTAAAAAATTCCTTGTCTGGCCTTACCCCCATTTCCAAATGTCCGTCATCTTTTGAGTCTAGGATAAACTTTCCTGAATCCGTGGGGATAACTGTGCAAGACGGGAGACCCTGTCCCCTGTGAACAGATGCATTGCTGAAGGACAGATAAAACGATAGATGACTTGACAGCTCTTGGAGCTCAGCTCTGATTCTGTTGGGAGGAATTCAAAGATTTCCCTGCTGTAACAAAATCATTTCTGCTCCCAGGTGATGTTGGAAACTACTATTATGGCCAAGGACATCCCATGAAACCCCACAGGATCCGGATGACCCACAACCTCCTGACTACAGGAAGATGGAGATATATGTAAGTGTAGGGCTGGTCGTGAAGAGGAATGTATATGAAGGATCTTAGTTTGCATGTCAGGTTTTAATTATGATGCTTTGGATTTGTAAGTTCTCTGTTGATGAGCCAAGGAGGAAAGGGGCCAAACAAACAAACAGTTGTGCTGATGTATTTCTGCTTTCTTCCGATTGCTTGTAGTGAGATGTTCTATGCTTCAGATAAGCTTTGGAGACTGGAAGGCTGCTTTTCTCCCTGTAACTTAAATATTTTCTTTCTGTAGATATGTAATACATTCTAGTCTCCAGCAGTGGCATTCTTGCCTTTGAAAATAAGTTTCTCTTGTTTAGTGTGTCTTGTTTTGAGTTTTTTGCTGTTTCTGGGAGTAAATCTGAGCTTGGAAATGAGAATTAGGAAGGGAGATGTGTTTCAAAACAAGCCTTGCTCTTTTTTTTCTCTTTGCAGCGCCCTCACAAGGCAAATGCAGAAGAAATGACCAAGTACCACAGTGATGACTACATAAAATTTCTGAGATCTATTCGCCCAGATAACATGTCTGAGTACAGCAAGCAGATGCAAAGATGTAAGCTATGTGTGTAGTGCTGTGGTTCCTGCCAAAGTTAAACTTTGTGGTTCTGGGAATCCTAGAGCAGCTTTAGAGGTTTGTGATAAAAAGAGTAGGAAGAACCACGGGAAGTTATCTTTCTCCTGACTTTGTTTTTGATTTTTCTGGTAAATCAAGCATTTTAAAGATGGGTCCCTCTCTCAAGCCAATGTGTCAAAAGAGCTGAGGAAACCTTTTGTGACCTGGCTATCTTTTTTTTGATCTTGTGTTTTGATGGAAACTCTTCTGAATTGCCTTCCTGGCTCAGAGATGACTGAACTACTCCATTTATGAGCTGCATGTAGCTTGTATTCTTCCTTATCTTTAACGAGAGATACTGAGGTGGGAAAGGATTGTGTAGTTTAAAACAAACAAACAAAAATATACCCCGACTCATCAATTGTGTCCCCAGTCTGCAGTACCCCTGAAGGATTTTCAGGCCAATGGCATTTTGGAAGTAGGGGAGGGTTGAGATGCACAATACCTGTCCCCTTTCTGTTAAAATGGTTTATTTTGTGAGCTAATCTCTTGTTCTAAGCTCTCCAGTCCATGGAAGGGCTCTTCAACAGTGACTTTAACGTTATAGAAACCTTTTTTTTCTCTCTCTGCAAATCTGAGCTGATGTTCTTGGCATTGACTGCAGCAAACCAGATTTCTAGCAAGTACAAATAGTGGGGAAGGCTCAAGGCTCATTTAAACAGTATTTTGGTCTTGTACACTGCAATCTTCTAGAGCAGAAAAAAATTGTTAGCCCATGGGGTATATTTATGTGGAGTAAGTGTAATGTCCAATTTAGAAGAAATATGAGTCTTGAGTCTGAAGTAGAAGCACTCGGAAATCTGGTATGAGCTGAAGGGGACAGATATTAAGGCACCAGCACGTAAGAGGAATGGGTAATGTGGTTCGTGAGTAATGCACATTGAAAGACTTCCTAGAGTAAATGATATGCCTTAATATACCGAATGACATATACCAAAGTACATATTTACACAAACTGAACTGTTTACCCCTGCAGCAGATACAGCTCATAAACACCCACTCGGCTCTCTCTGGTAGTCAATGTTTTCTGTACTGTACTTCCACAGAACTATTTTTACCCGAAGGAGGCAAAATAAGAAAATAAATCTTAAACATGCGGAGGACAGAGCTTTTCTTCAACAAGACCTGCAAAACAGTAGCCTCTGTGTAGCTAGAGAGCTAGCACAGGAGGCTCAGAGCAGAGATCAGCGATACAGGAGACAAGGTCACCACTCCCAAATACAGGGGCGGGTGTCTGTAGCCTGCCTGGTGCTTCAGCTTTCCCTTCGAGGGAAGGATAGCTGCTGTGATTTCCATGAGGATGGTTCCACCTCGAATGCTGGGTTCTCTCTGGTTGCCCTGTCCCAGATAACGCAGCTTCTTACCCACCCGCTGCAAGGAAAAAGGAGCATGTGTGTCGCTTGTCTTCCGACAGAGCTTTATGCCTATAGCTGAGCGATTGACCCCCATTATTAATGTCCCCCTTAGCAGTCCTGGCTGCTTGGAATCTCCTGGTGGGAAAAAGCCCAACTGGCTTCTGTTTCCACAGCAGCTCCTGTCTTTGCCAGGCATAGCTGAGGGATGCCCTCAAATACTGTCAGTGCCGCCCACCAAGTTCTGAGGGGAGCAAAGGTAATGAACAGTCTCTAATTTAATTCTGCTAATGCCGTGTTGCCTGCCTGAGGACTTGGGAAGACTGCTCTGTAACCGAAAGGGCAAGAAGTTTAATTTGTTGTAATGGGAAGCATGCAGAAATTGATGACTTAAATTCTCCTCACTTAACAGGGAAAGCTTCCAACCACCTCTTTGAGTTAATTATTCACACTCTGCCAATTGCCATGTCTTGCTGAAACAACTGGAAAGCGGGAACAATTGCTTCCTTCTGGCTCTCCTGATGGGTATTGTCCTTTTCAGAGATCTCTGTCCCGAACTGGGACCATTCAGGCTCCCTTATCACACAGTCTTTGTGGAGACTGTGCACTGATGGGTTTCTAATGCTGCAAGAACTGTGGTGTTTGTGCCTTTCTCCTTAAGCACAGAAGTAAACATCCTACAGATGTAACAAAAACGTAGATTTTTTTTTTTATTTGTAAAAGCAAATCTTGCAAAATCTAGTTTCAATGCAAGTCTGTTGTTACTGTTTTTATTTTTAATCAGGAAACTATTTACAGTAGAAATTTATCCAGGCCAAAGCTACAGTACTGCTGAGAACTGAGAAACTGACTGTCCAAAGTGAAGTGAAAGGAATGTGCAAAGTGTAACAGAACAGATGTGGATGGAAACTTCTTATCCAGTGCACACCAGTATCTACCATCTCCCCACTCTGCTGCAGCGCTGGCACTGTTTGCTTTCTCAGCTCCTCATCAGCAGCACAGCAGGAAACAGGAGCAGAAACTTTTCCCACTAGCTGTGGGGTGTGTGATGGAGCTCAGTGTCAGCTCCCTAGTCAGAAGCAGCATTTTTTCCCCCAGAAGTACGATGCCGGGGCTGCAGTGTGGCCCATGAGGGGCAGCAAGGGATGCTGGCCCCCCTTTTGCACAGCCCGTGGTGAGCAGCACGTGCTGCCGGAGCAGAGCAGAACACTGTGAATGTTCCATCTTGATGAGCACCGCTTCAGCCGCTGCTGAGGATGTGTATCCGTATTACACAGCTCTTATTGATAGCATCTCCTCTCTGCCCACTCATTTTCCAACGTGATTGACTGGTTTTGGGATCCCTCATAGCACACCCCAGTAGATGGCGTGCCGCTCCCACCAGAGCTCCTGAGACCTGCTTTTGTGCTTTTTTTTACAAGTCAGGAGCATCTTCCCCACAGCAACAACCTTTTTACTTCATCAGGCAATCTCAGGTTGATTACATTAACATTTTATTATTTGTGCATAGCATTTTGTTGTTTAAAATGTTTGATCTCTTACCTGGTTAGCTTTTGTAGTCAGAGTGGTGGCTTTGCCATTTCTTTGTGGTTTTGTCTTACTAACTCTTCTGTGTTCTTTTCAAGTTAATGTTGGGGAAGACTGCCCTGTGTTTGATGGGTTGTTTGAGTTTTGTCAGCTCTCTGCTGGAGGCTCAGTTGGTAAGCTCACAAATCATATGTTATTTTCTTTTTCTCTTAAGCAGATGTATGTAATATAGTTCTGTCCAGGAAATAAACTGTTGTAGGTGGTGGTTGGGAAGCCCTGTGAACCTATTTCTGATTTCCTTAATAATTAGATCCAGATTTCTTCCATGTGAGAGTTCAAGGCTTGTGTATTGACAGATCCCTCTACATTTGTTAGGCATATCTTCACGAGTCTGGGTTACTTCACTGAATATGTGAAAGACTGTAAGTGGTGTAACAACACGGCCGAGAATGGAGTTAAAACAAAACCGCAGCAGCAACAGGGGTTTAAAAAAATCAATGTGAGCTTTACAGAAGGAAAAATAAAAGTAGTAAAAACCTTGCTCTGGGCAGGCATAACCTGGAAAGGAAAGAAAAGGGTTGCTTTATCTGTTTTTAACAAAAAGCCACTGTCTCTGGACGTGAGGCAAAATAGAACCTGAAAGGTTTCAGTAAGCTCCCTGGAAGCTGGAACGTTTAAAATGCTTTCACTACATTCAGATGCTTTGTTGCAGAAAGACTGGTATCGCGGAACTGTGTGACTGTGCATAGGCGTTAAAACTTTGTGGCTGCTACTCCCACAATGACATCTAGAAGTCTGTATTTCCTGTAACGCAGTTCAGCAGTACATACAAGTACTGACTGCAGCACTTTTTTAAGTAGCTCTATGCTCCCTGGTCCCATGGCTGTAGATTCCACAGAATATATAATTTGTTTTGTTCCTGAGAGTCTTGCAGAATTTGCAGAAAGTTTATGAAGGGGCTGGGGGAAGAGAACTTCCTTTGCCTAAATGCATATTCAGTGAATGACCTAAATATATGTTGGATAAAGCCTTTCATTAAAATCTTTTGTTCAGGGCACTGAGAAATCTAGACTGTCTTCCACTGTGACCCCAGCTAGAAAGCTGTGGACTTGTTTGTGCAGATTTCATGCTCTGAGGCAAAAGTAGGGAGCAATCAAAAGTGCAGGCAAAACAGAGGCTGCATTTCTCTTCCCTTGCCTTTTGTTAGTTTGTTGAGACATCCAGTGTTAAACCCTTGGGCTTGTGCTTTGTAAATACCCGAGCGCACACAGAAGCAATGATGTGATTGTGAGGAACCAGCACTTTACCCCTCGGTCGCTGTCATGGGGCCTTTGCTCTCACGCTAACGTTGTGTAATTCTTCTCCCAACAGCCAGTGCTGTGAAGCTGAACAAGCAACAGACAGATATCGCTGTGAATTGGGCGGGAGGCCTTCACCACGCTAAAAAGTCAGAGGCTTCTGGCTTCTGTTATGTCAACGATATCGTCTTGGCTATCTTGGAGCTCTTAAAGTACGGGCAGTACTATTTACCCCTTTTGTTTGTCCATTCTGCTGAATTGCCTCTGAGTCCTTAGTGCTTTCTTCCCAGTCCTCTCTTTCTGTTTCTCTTTTTTCACTGTGTTTCCCTGGGAGGGCTTAATCGGCTCCCTTTTGGGATGCGGTGCCCTCTCTCCCGAAGGGGTGGCACTGTGCAGGAGGCAGAAGGCTGGGAGCATTGTGCTGCTGCTCTTGTGCCCTTCTTTCTCCCATCCACCCTGGAAAAGGGGGCACAGCTGTAATATGTGACAGCTTTTGGCTCAAGGCAAACCGCAGTGGGAGGCTTGGACAGAAAAATGCGGTCTGTTGGCTGAATCTGAATAAACTGAGTTGAGTCTGCCTTCAAAGAGCAGTTGCAGCAGCAGAAGCCATTTTATTTTCCTCTGTGGTTCTGTTCCACTGCTGACCAAGGCATGTGTCCGTTCTCTGCAGCTCTTTTGCTTGTAGACTCCAGAGAGAGAGCTGGCTGGTGGCTGTGCAGCCCGGGGATTAGCACCCTTGCTCTCCTCCCGTTTGCCTTGCTGCTGAAGGCAGTTTCTGCTCTGAAGAAATGCAGCATTTTGACTCCTTTCTAATCCTAGGTATCACCAGAGGGTCCTGTATATTGACATTGATATCCACCATGGAGACGGCGTGGAGGAAGCCTTTTACACCACAGACCGCGTGATGACCGTGTCCTTCCATAAGTACGGAGAATACTTCCCAGGAACAGGGGACCTGCGGGTGAGGATGGAGCCTTAGCAGACAACTAGCCTGAAACTTGGTCTCTTCCGTCTGTTTGCTGTCGTACTAATTTAACTAAAATCACCGCTCTCCTGGGTTTTCCTGCTCTCCTTTTTCTGAGGGCAGAGGTGTATAAAGTGAGGCAGCTGCTCAGCTCCTGGAGTGGGAGCTTTGTTCCTGTGATCATGGCCTCTGTAGTAATAAACCAAGGCTTTGATCTCAGTCTCTTAGCAGCCTTCTGGTGGGTTTGTGCTCAGAAAAGTGGCATTGTTGGTCATCCGTAGCTACTTGCAAACTCAGCTTGGTCACACAAGCTTTTGGGTGAAAGTTTGAGGGAGCACTTCTCTGTGTGTTGGTTTAGCTCGCTGGCATTTCCTCTGATGAGTCAGTCCTGCTTGTTCATGAATCCTGGTGTTAACTGTGGCACTCTTTCAAGTCAGATACAGGTGTGGTTGGTTCACTTTGTGACTTCTGACATTGCCAGAATGCTGTTCTCAGGGGTAAAATGTTCTTTACTTTTTTTTTTTTTAATGTGCTTTTTGGTGGAATTACATTTTTCTCATCTAAATTCTCTTGTCTTCCACTGGTGAGTTGTGTTTTATCAGCCCCGCTCAGGGTTTGGCACAGGTGATGTGAAGTTGCACACAGCTGTAGCTTTCTTTCCTGGTGCAGCCACTCTGCAGCGTAAATAAAATTGTTATTTTTTTATAAAACACTTGAGTAGGAGAGACATAATGAAAATGTAAAAATATATATATTAAAGTAAAAATAGATTCCTTCAGTTACAAGACTGCATGGTCAGCCCAAACTGATATTTCGGGCTGTGCATCTTTGCAGTAGACAGGTTTGGAACTAGAATTTTGGCTGCCAGGTTTATTGCCGCGTAAAAGAGGGGCTTTTGCCAGTGCACTGAGAACCTGTGTGCTCACAGCATTATTGAAAGTGGTGAAAGCAGTCGATTTTTTCGTCTCTTTAGTACTGAGGGCCAAATGCGCACGCTTACACCAAATAAGCTGCTGTTGGAGTCAGCTGACTCTTGCCTCCTTCTGCCAGGACAGTATTTGTCTGTGAGGGCCTGGGCTCGCATTCGGATTACACTGATGGGATCCCAGGCTTCCCCTCCTGATTTGGGGCACAGTTTGTGTGCTGCAGTTGGTTCTCTGGTGACTTGCGGTCTCTCCTGTCTCTCACTGCAATAGGATATTGGTGCAGGCAAAGGCAAGTACTACGCTGTCAACTATCCCCTCCGGGACGGAATTGATGATGAGTCCTATGAGGCAATATTCAAGCCGGTAAGTGAAAACATCTTTGCTGAGTGATTCTTTGTGGATCGTACTTTGTCGTTGGGTGGCTCATGGAGCCATTCTTTGGGGAGAATGGTTCAGTCTGCTGTGATAAAATTCTTCAGGGGCTGTATTCCTCCCTAACAATTGCAGCCTGTCATCAGTCAGCTTTTCTCTGTAAGAGCCTCACTGTTGCCAATATCGGGGCGTCAGCAGCTGTGGGAACACTAGGGATGTCTTCATGTCACTTTGCTGACATGGGCATTACTGTGTTGCTGTGACACTGTCCTGTGCAGAGTGTGTAACAACGGGTTTCTTGTTTAGGTGATATCTAAAGTGATGGAGACGTTCCAGCCTAGCGCAGTTGTCTTGCAGTGTGGGTCAGACTCTCTGTCAGGGGACAGGCTGGGTTGTTTTAATCTGACCATCAAAGGTAAGAGTCCCGTACAGTGCCCGTGTTGAACTGCCATAACTGATCTAATTAGATTTCATTGAAAAGTTTGTTCTTCTTATGCCATGAGGCTGTGACCTTCCCCCCACTGCTTTTGCTGCAGGTCATGCCAAGTGTGTGGAGTTCGTAAAAAGTTTTAATTTGCCTATGCTGATGCTGGGAGGAGGTGGCTATACGATCCGCAACGTGGCTCGGTGCTGGACCTATGAGACTGCTGTGGCTTTGGACACTGAAATTCCCAATGGTAATTCTCCCCTGGAGCCTTTGAAGCAAGACTAAGGGACAATGACCCTCTAGTGACAGAGCTCAGGGAAATGATATTGCTGTGGGAGAGGTAGATGTTTCATTAGCTCTGGATTGTTACTGTGGAAGAGCTTTTGGATGCCCTGACTTGCAGTAGCTGTTCTTATTTGCATTCTAGTCCTGTAGCTCTCCCCTCCAGCAAAAGGTACCCAGCAGCCTTGGCTGTCTTACTGAAATGAGATTACCTTCTACTGAAAACTTCTGTGTGCGCTGATAGTACTTAACAGCCAAGTAAGCTTTGACTGCCCTGTTGCTAAGTCGTTTGCATTCTTTGATCTGAATTTGGGCTAGGAGAGCTTTGGCTCCTGTGCCTAGGTAAACGCAGTTGTGCTTTTCTGTAGAAGTACAATGTGTTTGTGGTATTTTGTCACCAGTCCAGTGGTAATTTGGTGTTTATTTCTGTTTAACTTGCCTGCAGAGCTTCCATATAATGACTATTTTGAGTACTTTGGACCAGACTTTAAGCTCCACATCAGTCCCTCGAACATGACTAACCAGAATACCAACGAGTATCTCGAGAAGATCAAGTAAGTGTTTGCTCCGCTTCCTGAGACTGACACCTTCTACTGGGGGCTTCGCAGCCGTGGGTGGCATCTTGCTGACGGAGGTGTTCCTTTCCTGGCTGGCTCTAGGCAACGTCTATTTGAGAATCTGCGCATGCTGCCTCATGCCCCTGGCGTCCAGATGCAGCCAATTCCTGAGGATGCTGTTCAGGAAGACAGTGGAGACGAAGAGGAAGAAGATCCTGAGAAACGCATTTCAAGTACGTGCTTGTCTCTGGCATAGTTGCGTTGCCCGGCTGGGAAGAATACTGTTCAGAGCCTGTGGGTGCAAAACCGAACAGGATCAGTCAACTGGAGAAGCGTGCAGGCTCTGAACTGAGTTACCTTCGTACAGAGAGGGGAGGATATATGATTTAGATATATATCTGTTCTGCGAGTCCTTCAGTTTGAATCTGTTCCCACCTTTCTGATTGATTTGGTAGATAAAGCAATGATACCCAGCACTGCAGAGCTGGTAGATTTATTTTTCCTTGAGAAATGGCACTTTTGACAGAAGATTTCCATAAATGGGAGAACCTAGGCTCTAATGTGAGAATTTAAACAGTTCCTGTGAGGTAGGTGCTAGGACAGAATACTTTCTGGGAGACTGTCAGGTTTGATCCCAGAAGTTGTCTTCCACAGTGAAAATGCCAGTTCATATCCAGATGGGCGGATGGCCTTTCGATCTGGCAGGCAGGTTTTCTCGGTGTGAGGCTGGTTAACCTGCTTACGCTGTCAAGTCTAGACATCACATTGTACCTCATCCAAGTCGTACATGTGATCTTGGATCTTAGGCTTGAGCAGTTAGCAGCGATGAGTTAAAATACGGCAGGTAGAAAGAGAAAGTGTTTTTATTATGGCCGAATTCTGACTCAGGTAGGCTCGTTAGTTCATTCCAGTGTGTAGATGTACTTGGAGAAGTTAGCGCTTGGTGTCTCCCTACTCCCAAATCTGCTGAAACAACCTCTTGTCCTCTTCCCACTCAGTCCGCAATTCTGATAAAAGAATATCCTGTGATGAAGAATTCTCGGACTCTGAAGATGAAGGAGAAGGAGGGCGCAAAAATGTCGCCAACTTTAAGAAAGCTAAGCGTGTGAAAACAGAAGAGGAAAAGGAGGAAGAGGAGAAGAAAGGTGGTAAGCACGAGAGCTAGGACCAGAAGCCCCCCTTCCTCTGTAGAACTTTGCCTGGCATGTACTTTCCTGCTGCACTACTGTGTGTCTTTTTGTTTTGTTTTGTTTTCCTAGATGAGCCAGAAGAGGAAAAAGCAAAAGAGGAGAAAGCAGAACCCAAAGGGTGAGCCCTGTCTCCTGGCATGGCGATTAGACGGCTGCTCCTGCACTTCCTTGTGCACCTACCCATGCCTGCAGCGGGGTGTTGCACAAGTTGAGGGGTTGGAGAAGAGATGTGGTAGTTTAAACGGCTTTGTCACGGGCTCTTAATGTGAGCGCTGCGAGAGCCTTCAGTGGAAAGGGCTTAAAAAAAATACTGTGCCTTCCTCTGGTAACATGGTGTGAGTTCTAGATGGAGACGGGCCATAGAAGCAGCGCTTTTAAGGTTGCAGCTGGCTTGTCGTTAAAGCTTGGGCACAGTCTGAGTTGTGTGTGTAAACCAGATTCTTCACTGCTTGCTTCCACAGGGTGAAGGAAGAGACGAAATCCACCTAAGGAGATGGCTGCAGCTGGCCAGGACCTGTCAGTGCGTAGTTGTCATAGGTTAGCTTCTGATTGCCTCCCATTCCACAGGATTTATATTTTATATATGTTTCTGTATATATTTCTATAT